TTAACAAAGAAATTTAAGTTAGATTTAAATATAAATATAAGAAAGGAAGAAACATGGTGCTGAAAGAAATAAAGAACAAAAGACATGCCCAGGAAATTTATTTTAAAAAGAAATGATATAGAAGTATTTTATCTATATCAGAAAATATAACATTAAATTAAAACCACACCCCATTTTCACCTAAAATTGGCAAAAATTGTAATGCAAAAGCAGTGAGTGTGTCTAGAAGACATGTAAGAGAAAATCTAGTTGAGCTTGGGTTTGATGATCACTCTTCAGACACAACACCATTGGCATGATCCATGAAAGGAATAACTGATGAGTTACACTTCATTAAAATTAAGATTTCTGCTTTGGGAAGGACACTGCAAAGACAGGGAGAAGACAAGCCACAGATTCGGAGAAAATATTTGAAAAAGACACATTTGAGAAAAGACTCAAAATATACAAAGAGCTCTTAAAATTCAACAATAAGAAAACAACCTGATTAAAAAATGGGCCAGTGACCTTAAAGACACCTCACTAAAGACAGACATACAACTCAAAAATAAGCACATGAAACGATGTTCCACATGGTACATCAACAGGAAAATGCAAATCAAAACAAAGAAATGTCATTAGACATCTATATGAATGGCCAAAATCCAGGATACTGGCAAAATCCAGGACTCAGGATACTGGCAAAGCCCAAAGTTGGTGAGGATCTGAAGCAGTATGAACCCTCATTTCAGTGCTGCTGGAAGGCAAAAAAGTGCAATCACTTTGGAAAGCCATTTGGTGATTTCTTACAAAATGAAGCATGCTCTTACCATACGATCCAGCAATCACACTCTTTGGTGTTTACCCAAAGGAGCTGAAAACTTCTGTCCACACAAAACCTGTATATGGATGTTTATAGCAGCTTTATTCATAATTGCCAAAACTTAGAGGCAGCCAACATGTCCTTCAGTGGCTGAATGGATACATAAACTGTGAATCACCCAGACAATGGAATATTTTTCAGTGCTAAAAGGAAATGAGTTATCGAGTCATGGAAAGACATGAAGGAAACATAAATGCATATTTGTAAGAGAAAGAAGCCATATAAAAAGGCTGCATACTGTATGGTTCCAATTATATGACTTTCTGGAAAAGATAAAACCATGGACACAGTTAAAAGATCAGTGGCTGCCAGGGGCTCATGGGGAGGGAATAGGCAAAGCACAGAGGATTCTTAAGGCATTGGAACTACTCTGTACGAAACTATAATCATAGATACATGTCATTATACACTTGTCCAAACCCACAGAATATACACCAGCAAGAGTGAACCCCAAGATAAACTATGGGCTTTGGATGATAATGGTGTGTCAATGTCAGTACATCAATTGTCACAGATGCACCACTTCAGTGGGAGATGTTGATAATAGGAGAAGCTGCGTATGTCTGGGGCAGGGTATAGACAGGAAATATGTACTTTCCTCTCAGTTTTACTGTGAAGCTAAAACTGCTTTTAGAAATAAACTCTATTTTAAAAGAGATAAAATGGTGTTTACAAAGTTACAGAAAAGGGAACTTCCACACATTGTCACTAAAGGTATTATATATTTGTTTATTCATAGGTGAAAAATATAATCTAATTTCACCAAAATGTTGGCAATGGTTCTCTATTAAAGACAGGAATATGGTGTTTTTGTGTGTGCTTTCCAAAATACAAGTTAATATCCTTTAAATTTAATGTGTCAATTTCATATAATTCAAAATATCATATAATTCAGAAAGGCAAAACTATTTTTAGGTAAATATCAAGGATCTTTTAATTATTGAGATATAATAATGTTTTCTACAGTCTAGGACAGATTTTTTTTTTTTTCTGTCTTGCCTCATCAAACTAAAGAGATGACCCAATGAACTTGTCCTGAGGCTCAGGGGAGCCCAGGTTCATGCCCCCAGGGCTACAGTTTGGAAGAATAAACCAGATACTAAGCTATATCACCAGGCACAACTCAGAAATTCTGAGTTCTCTCTGTTATTAATGGAGGGACAAGCGGAGATAGGGGAGCTCAGCGGCAAAGGAGGGATACAAATGAAAAAGAGTAGGGGCTGACTCAGCAAAACTGGGAAATGACTTTGCAAAAGACCTGTCAGAACGGATAAATGACGCCTCTGGAAGAAACAGCTTAGCATTCCTGCAGCGTGTGAGCAATTATTTCCGGGGATAAGATCGAGAAAAAGGAGGAAGGAAGATCAAAAGCCGCCTTCTCCAGTCTGCAGACATTTCTTAAATGAGCAACTGGGAAGAAGAGAACTGGAAAAGACAAACCAAAACAAAGAGCGCCTGTACTCTACTTCATTTTAAGCTTCAGTCACTGGGCAAACATCCACCATTTCTGCTCTTTCTCTGCTCATGAAAAATGGTTAAGTTGCTCCGTGGATGTTGACTACACTCTAATTGTTTTTATGGTAAATGAAGCATGAAACCTATTGTCAAAAAACACGGTGTTCATGGAACATAGCCATAGTTTGTCTTCCCAGCACATCACTCCCAGGGGTGAACACTTTACATGCGGCCAAAGAGATTCAAAATACCATGTCATCACATTTCTCTAAGAGTGAGTTTTAGGTAAAAACCCACCTTTTTTTTTTCCTAGTACTTTCTTCTGTGCAACTTAGAAAAAATCTTGCTGAAGTATATAACCCTGTTGTATAGAGCACACCCAGGGGAAAGTCAGGTGGGCAGGAGGGTGGCAGAGTTCTCCTCTTGAAAGGTATGGAGAGTAGTGTTGACAAGCAGTAGTTATACCCTTGTGTTAAAGGAAGAACCCTGTTGCTAACTAAATCCCTAGGATTTGCTCCGCTCTGCTGATTATTATATCTCATGACTGAGCCTATTCATCAGGAACTAATTAAAGGGGACTCAAACAGCCTGTTGCTGATTGTAAACCAATAAATTTTATTGTATTAAGTTCCCCTCCACCATTCTTTAATGGATATACACTTATTGGCTGGAATATTTTCTGAGTCAAGATATTTTCAAGGTGATATTCCTCTCAATCAGGCAGTTTTAGGGTCCTTTGGGCAGGAACCACAATCCATTTTGGTCATCTGCCTTGATAAATAGAAAGGTGGATTAAGATACAAATGTTTAGGTGAAACAGACAAATTTCATTCTGTCATTCATCCCCAAACTCTGTGCCTCTTGAATTTAATTCAAATCTATTTAAACCATACCCATGAATCACATCCTATGTGTAGGTATCCTGCCCTTAAGAAGCTAAACCAAGCTAAAAAGGGTCAGAGGTCATGGAGGTAACCAAGCTTCAGTACGCATGGGCTGGTTGCAACTGAAAAATTAATAATCAGGAGTGTGGGATAGCATGGAGGAGTGGGTAATGCCGTTCTTCTTATGATAACCCACATAGCAGCCATTGTATTTGGAACTCGACACCGAATTCTTTAGATTTGAATTAGAAGAGGCACTTCTTTGATAGATTTCTTCTTGTTCCAGTTTACAGGCAACTAATCCTCACTGCATTGGATCAAACAGACGGGCGCAATCAATTCAGGGAAAGCAAGCAATGCCAACTCTGCTCAATCTTCCCTCAATGAGCAGCACAGAAGAGGGTGGAGGGAAAGGAAAGAAAGAAAGAAAATGCAGGCATGCCTGCACCCAAGATAGCTTAGCAAAGGAAAAGATGAAAAGACAAGTTGAAATATATATCCTGGCAGATGGAAGCACTTGCTGTCAGCGGGAGAGGCTGAAACGCCACAGTGGTGCCAAATGCACCAAGCCTGGGGGCGCAGAGCAGTATTGAAGGGAGTAGGGACGGATGGCAGTAGTGATGATGTCAAAACAAAGAAATCGGGGCAGTGTCTCTAGGGAAGAAAGAGGTCCAGATTTACTTAGGTCTCCATAGTCTATGATCTATAGCACAGTGTGATTGAGCAAGTTAATTACTGCATTTAGGTAATTAAGTCTCAGAGAAACCAGTGCCTTCCAAAGCAAAATTAATTTATGCTGCTAGATCTTTCTAGGCTTGACTGGCCATTTGGTGAGAAGTCACACTGGAAATACAGCCTAACAGTGGCAGGAGGAAATTTAATGAAAATAAGCTAGAAATAAAATGGCCCCAGTATTAATGGCTTTCTTTCTGCCTTTGGACCTGAAGGGCATAATGAGGTGCTTCCTGGTTTGCCAGCAGGCACTTCCTCCGCAAACAGCTCAACACCCCACCCATTCCCTGGCTCAAAGTATGGGCAATGATTTAATCTTCTTTGACTCCTCTGACTTCTCTTGGTCTTCTCTTCTCTCACATGCCCATTATATCTTCCTTTCTTGTCCTCTGACTCTGTTTTGGTCAAGTCTAAAATATCTGTCTATAGTAAAGGGTATCAAAAGAGCTTATTTGAATAATGGTTCTCCTTCTCTTGACTCATTAATGATCCTCACAGTTCTCAGAGATCTATCATTTCTCTGCCATGGCTGTGAGTCAGGGTCTCTAGGCCAATGTATTAATCATCTTTAGGTGGTTCTTCTCATGATCTGAGAAGGAACAGTGCTATTTAAGAATGGGTAGAGTAAAATATTTCTTGTCCCCAAGTTCCTGGTTATTGGCAATGAGATTGCCTTTTTTTGCTGAGTAATGGCTTCAAAATGATACCTGTATACTTATAAACACATTCCTGGCAAGCACAAGCATAGGTAGAAGTGCATGTGTATTGCTAAGCTGCATCTTCCTTACCATAAGCAAAATGTATTAAAAATGCATGTTTATAGATACATGTAGCTTTATATATGCATTTATGTGCACAAGTAGGCAGCATCCCCTATGTTCAGCGAGAAGTGAGGATGTTCCAGTTCTGGCGCCAGCAGAGCACTACTGCCCCTACCTTTAGTTGGTGGCTCCTCCATATTTTCTCGTTGTCAAAGACCTGTAGGACCACCTGACTCTCACTTCCAAGATGTGTCTGATGGGAATACTGAGGTCCAAACTTCTCCCACACCCCTGTAAGCATCTTACCGCTGGAGGTGGTGGTCCAGAGCCTCTTCATCAGCATGCAGGAGAGTTGCTGCATGGGTTAGGAGCTGATGGCTGCAGCTTACAGACTTGAGTTCCAAGATGAGTAGACCCAAGCAGAACATGGCTCCCATCTCCTCCAGTTCACTGGTACCAAACTGTAGGCCCTGCCAGGTAAATAAAACCATCAACAGAGGCTACATAATGGAAACTGAGTGAAGACAATTTGAGATAGAGGAAGGACTTCTGAACACAGAAATTGAGAATTAATAGCATCTATCCGTCACTGTCCAATGTGCTTTGTTGGGTGCTTTCTGGTTTGGTGGTTCTCAGTCCGCATTCTGTGTCATTCAGGGTTTCCCAGTAGGACCCCTAAGACAGTAATGAGCTGGCAGGGGTCCTAAAGGGCAGAGGGGTAGATGGAGTTCCAGGAGTTACTTTTCCCACTTCAGTTGGAACACCAATGCATCTGTATTTTTAAGAAGTGTTCCACCGTTGAAACAAAAGACTATGAATGATTGTACTAAGAGATGCCCTTTCTCTCTCATAAATTTGTCAACAAGTGGACAAGAATATGGAAGATCTTTCATACATAAATACCCAAACTTAAGAGCAATAACACCAGCATTTGTTATTCCATCTGTACTGAGACAATACATGATACCAAAGCCCTGATATGTACTCTGTGCTATTATCCATCAAGTAGTGTATAATAAAAATTAACAATTTTATTGAGCATTTATTAGGTGTCAGATACTATTCTGAACCCTCTTATATGCCTTAACCCAATGAATACTTAGTAGTCTTATGAGGCAGATGTTGCTATTTCATCCATTACCTAGAGAGGAAGACTTAAACCAATGGAGCTGATACTTCATCCATGACCTCACAGTAAGAGAGAATAGTAAGTGAGTCATGAGTTGATTCTTCAACAAAGGGCTATACAAAGACTAGGAAGGACTCCATTACATGATAAAGTACAAAGTGTGTGGTTTTTGAAATTAGATAGAAATAGGATTTGAATTCTGACTTGGCCATTTTCTGATTGCATGATCTTGGACTTAATGAATGAACTCTATTAGTCCTAATCTTCTTATCTGAAAAATGAGATCATAATTCTTCCATCCACATAATTAAGCATGTAGTGATATTCCAGGATACACACAATGCTTGTCAATATCAGCTCAACTTCTCCTTCCTTATTCCTAGAATTCAGAATTCAATGTGCTCTTGAGTTCTTTCTGTTTATAAATATATTTCATTTAAATGAAAAAGTAACAATATTTGAATATTAATTTTAAATAGATTTTCATATCCAAATAGTAGTGATACAAAGAACAGAGATGTGATAGTAAAAATTAAAAAAATATTGGTCCTAAGCATCATGAGGGAAAACAAAACTAAACTGGGAAATCATCAGCCTCACAAAAGAATCTCTAGGTAGAAGGATAAAGGAAAGTAGAAAGCCTATTTCAGCTGTTTGAAAATTTGATTTCCTGTATGTTTGGACACCTGTTTTCCTAAAGAAAGGAGATTTTGCTTCAGAGTTAAGAGAAGTCTGCTCCTCTGTAAACAACAGCAGTGGGAGGGGAAGACAGATGTTTAACAAGTTATTTTTCTTAAGTCAATAGAAAAGATCACTATTTAAAGAGAGAGAAAAATATCAGTCTCTTTCCATGAGCTAAAGTTCGAAGGTCTAATTCTTCCCCTGCATCCTGTTTTCCTGGCTGCTTTTCTTCATTCTAGAATGACCAGTTGGGTGGGAAGTTACGAAGCAAAGGCCATGCCCTCCTCTTCAATAAGCTACCTCACTGGTGGCAATAAAGAGTAGACAAGGAGAATATGAACAAAATCTTGCCCCTCATGGCAGGCAAGTTGCCTGATACATATGCGTAGCCCCAGAATATGGCAGAACACATAACAGGTCAAAAAAAGGACAAATCCCTGGGGGAAACAAATTTCATTGCATGAGCCATATTGATAGGTCAGGGGTGACACTATCGCATAAATCAATATCTATAAACAATGGCCAACATGATAGCATTCTTATAATACAAAAATATTTCCATATCTCAAATACTGGTCCATTTATTTCAGGCAGCAATTGGTATCATAAAAAAGACTTGTCCGGAAGACCTTGATTAAAGGAACTTGTACCATTTATTGACTGTAGGATCTTGAGCAAATTACTTATTCCATTTTGCTCTTCACTGTGAATTTCTCTTTATTACTCTACTCTTTTTATTCTCACAAAACATCAAAAATATTTGTTTAGATGGATAGTCTCCTCTCATCTCCCATACCCAGTCTGGAAATTAAATCCTCAAAGGCAAAGACTGAGTAGTATTTGCTTTTTTACATCTCTAGCATGGAGCAAATAGCCTATTATATAGTTTATCCTCAATATATGATAAATGGATCCAATAGCTCTACACTCTACATGGATGGATATGGAGAGGCATGAATATATTGTCTCTTGGATACATATCGTATTTGTCAAGTGGAACTTCACTTCTTTGGGTATAAAGTATATGAATGTTTTTCAATTATGTTTCCCACTGTCAAATGTCATGAAGATTTAAATAATTTATTTTAGTTTTGCTTCGGGAAATGCATTCACATTTCTGGATATGATCCAGAAAACAGGTAGACAAAATTTAGAAATTCTAATACCTAGGTTGGTCAGTTATGGGCTCACAGTAACAAGTTTATAAATAAAGCTGGCTTTGGTCTAATTTAAAAGTGAGTCTTACTAAAATAGAGACCCCACTCTCCTCTCCTTCCAGCTTAAATGTGTTAATCAGGATTTTTCTCCCCATAGCCAGTCACAGAAAGTCTGACTAAGGTGGCTTAACCAGAAATGGAATTTTATTTTTCATGAATAATAAGTTGGGAGCTACAAAGTTTGTGGCATTATTTCAGTGTCCTTAAAAAATCAGGACTACTGTGTCTGTCATTCTGGTTTTCTCATCATGATTGCAATATGGCTGCTGTAGCTGCAGCCAGCACATCCTCATTCAAGGAAGGAGAAAGAAAAATGGGGAAAGGAAGCACCAACATACCCTTGCTAATATTTTATTGGCCAGAGCTGTGTAATAGAGCCAACTCCAGCTTTACAATGATCTGGTAACTGAATATTTTAGCTTGTCCAACCACTTTAAAAGAGATAGGAAAGAGAGAACAGTATTAGTAATGAGTCGTAGATGAGCCAGACTGTTGAATTCTCATGTATATTTGACTCCAAAATTCGCCACTACCTTCATCATCACACAATTTTTAAATATCATAGATATGGGAATAATAGTTATATTACTACAGAAAATTACCCAAGGCAAACATAAGGTCCACAAAGAATGTTTAAAAAGTATAGGCACTTGCAATTGATGACCAAAAGAAGAAAAGCAATCAATAACCAAGCATAGAAAAATATTCTATTATTTAAATAAAAATGCCTCTTGCACCCTGCAAATGGTGCAAATTTTAATACATATTCAAATTTTAATACACAGTGCTGACTCTTATGATAAAAGCTGGCACTATCAAAATGCAATGACATTTGACATGGCAATACCACTTCTAAAACTTTTCCTGAGGGACTGATTCAAAATAAAAGTGAAGCTATATGCATAAAATATATATTATGTCAAAGTTATATATAGTAATCAAAATTTGAAGGAAATAAAATGCTGAATATATAGTAAGGAAGAAATGTCTAAGGAAATTATAATGGAATAAATTTGATGAGTTATAATAAAGCCATTAAAATTATAACAGCCATTTAACAATACGGAAAATGCTTATGATTTAATGATAAGTGTGGGGGGGAAGCAAAAACAAAGCATGTAATGATATGATTTCTGGTGATGATTTGGCAATAAAAGCAGAGGTGGCCACCCTCAATCCCACATACACACTTTCAGACATTACTGCTGTGATTTGCCAATAAAACAGAAAAATTTGGAGGAGAGATGTTATCAAGAGAACATCCGCATACCAGAAACTGTTTAGAAAGCTGTAGCATGCTAATAAATGAGAATTCCTTTCAGGAGGTTGCCAGGTCTTTTCTGGATCTTTTATATTCGGAAGAAGATTTAGATTTATTTTTATTTCTTTTATATATAATTTATTGGCACTACAGATTGGTGGCTCTCATCAGTTTTAGAAAAATGTAAGCCACCATCTCTCTGGGTGTTGCCTTTCCTCCACTCCTCATCAAAGATAAGCTTAACACTCCTATTAACCTTATTTATTTTTACTCTGTTCTCCATATCTCTTACCTTTACTTCCATATTTTTTATTTCTCTCTATCACTGTAATAAATTCTGAATATCTTTTCATATCAATGTTCCATTTTAATAATTTGCTCTCCAGCTTTCCTGAATCTGCTCTTTGACTCATTCATCTCAAAAACTGTCTCTGAAATACTATAAATGTAGCTATTTTATATTCTCTCCATGATTATTACTATATATACAGCCTTTGTGGGCATATATCATTTGACTTCCTGTTTAATGTCAATGCTGTAGGTTTACCTGCCTAAATACTTCATGATCTTTCAAAATTCTAAATTCACATTTTTTTGAAGTTTAATAAATTCTCTGTGTATTGGTTTTAATGTTCTTTGCTCCAGAGATAATTTGTGTTTGCCTCCCCTAGGTACTTGGGGACTACGCATCAGGGACCACTATAGGCTGAAGCTTTGGCTTCAAGACTTTAGGGCCATAGCATACATTTAAATTTTGAACCTAAATCTACTTAAAGGAGGGTTTGTGTTTAGAAATTATGAATGAAGACTTTTCCTTTTTTGTCTGCTGTACCCAAAGCCAAGGCTAAGACAGCAAGGCATCCTCCCTTCACACATTATGATGTCACTGGTTCGGTGACAAGTCATCATAAAGATGTAAATCCAAAGATCTACAACTACTCCTGGCAAAGCCTATCTCTTTTTATAAAATTGAGCATCATTGAATACCCTCTAAGCATATACAGAGGGAAAATGTTACAGTTATGTACAAATGCTGTCGTTAAAAGGGGGCACTCTGAAACACCAAACGAATGTCTTTTTATGAAAAATATTTACTGGAAGGAATGAGAAAAATCTGAGAAATTTCTTGTTTATATTCTCATAAAGGATCAAGAGTAGATTGCATTGGTAAAAGTACAGCAA